TTTTACTTGTATTTCTTTTAGCCAAACATTTTACTCTCTTATAAATTAGGATTGCTTTATAACATACAAGTTGTTTTAGAATTGAATGCACATTCAATACAAGGTTTTCATTCTTTTCATCTTTGTATTCAGCTAATTTATTTTTCTTTAGGTAAAATAGTTATTCAGCCAGTCATTCGCTTAACTTTTTTTTCTTGTCTCCCTGGCAGACATTGTATCCGTTCATAAAAATGAAGATTTATTTGGATTTTTCAAATAACTTGAACTGCAATCTTTTTTTTTTTTTTTTTTTTTAAATGTCAACTTTTCACTCTAAGCTTCATTAGAGGCTGTTATTTAAATTAAACACGCACCTTTTTTTAATTCTTCATATTACACAGGTCTAAGTTTTTGATATGTTGTCTTTGACAAACATCAGTTACAATTCTGAAAATTGTCATTTCTCTTGTGCATGTCTGCAGTTTGATATGCATATATATATATATATATATATACAGCACATAATGTGTTGAATAGTTATCAGCTTGTCTTACTTCCCAAAATCTGATCAGATGCCCACACATCAGGATTTTAATTTTTAAATACTTTCTTTGGGCTGAAAACTTATATGTCTGTGTGTGCATGTATCTCCCTAAACTATTCAATTTTGTTACAGTATATTACTATTGTTGAACTTTTATTAGTTGTCTTCTATAACTTTTTAATATGTGGAGAGCTTATATTTTGTTTTGTTTTTTTTTACTTTTAATTAATCTTGTAAAATTTCCCATTTGTATTACAAGTTCACTTAATGGACAATTGTTTTCTAACTTGACATGAAACTTAGTAATGCAACTTGAATTGTTGTAGGTTTATTTTTGGAATCAAAAAATCACTTTTAAATGGAGCAATTGCAAAACCGGTACCACCAAATATGTTTATAGTCTATTTCATATGCTTATTTCCTTTTGTAAAGAAAATTAGTTGTGTGTTTCTTCATATAAGTTGTATCTGATAAACTTTTCCAAATGTATCATATAGTGACAAACAACTTGTATTGAGGTTTGTAGTAATTCTTTGGTAAAATGATTTTAAAATTAATATAATTAGATAATGTTTAAAGTTTTGAAGTTTTGATATAAAAGTTTTAATCTTATCACTGGTATAGATAAAGCCTCAGGCTTCTCACAAAAATGATTATCACTGGTTGTGGTTTTGGATATTGATTTGTCTGAAAATTGGAGAAAACAACCAAAACACAAGGCCAAATTGGTTTCTTGCAAGAGTTACTTGATTTAGATGCCATCAATGATAAATATTTGCCATAACTATTTGGCCTCAAATTTGTTCAGCTTTAGTTTGTCTAAATGTTCTTATATAGAAGTTTTGTTTTTTTCTTTTTATATAACTCATTTGTCTTTCTTAGTAACTGCCCTATTCAGATGAGATGGATTTAAGCTTAGAAATATTAGATTTTCACTTTTGTAGATTTTGTGTGTGTGTGTGTGCATGTGTGATAATTCAAACAAGCTGTTTTAATTATGCTGATGTACCATAAAGAATTATTTTTCCCAAATTGAAGTCTTTTATGCCTGAGTAATTTCAGTCTCTTCAATTTACATGCAGTGGCTTAGTTTAGTCTGAAGCTGACAGCTCACTATGATAACAATCTATTATCTTATAGGCAGTCTTCTATGACAACTACAACTGCATGTCAGCAAATGAAATCCAAACTAAATTCTTGATGTTGCTGGCTGATAGCAGACATGCAACTCATGAATTTAATTTATAATTAAACTTTATTGATTTGTAATAATAATTTGATTTCAGATAATTTTAGATAACATAATTAGAAATGGCAATAACAGTTTCAAAAATCTTAAAAAAAAAAAGAAAAAAAAACAGGAAACCCACTCCACTTTAACTATGAAGCATAAGAAATTTTCTGTGTTTAATTTAGACTAATATCATCATCTTTCTCATATTTTTAATTGGACGACTTGATAAATTTTTCTTTCCTATGGTATTAAGAATTGGAAACTGTCATGTTTCTGCTTAAAAAAATTGCTATTAGATTTTTTGAAGTGAATGAATTTTTTTTTTTTTTATTATTAATTTCTACTTTTCACTCTCACCTTATGAATCATCTGACAGACAAATATTGATTATCACTGTATAATAAAATTTATGTATTTTAACCACCCTCCCCTGCAATTTAGGTCAGGTAAAAAGATTAGAAGCAGCTTAATGCTACCTTGCCTGAAAGTGACAAATATCCACTTGTTCTCTCTGCCAAGGTCTTTAAGCAGGCAACACTTTATAACAAACATAATGTTTGTTCTTCAGGATAGCTTAGAGAAAGTTTTCTGATGAGAAATATGTTTTTATGAAAAGAGATTTATATCTGATTAGAAATGATGAATGGGATACAGTTTTGACTAGTGATGAAGTTGATTTTGAAGATCCTCTTTATATGAAATTGCCACAAGCCAATGTGGTTCTTCTTTCTTGACTTTAACTACAACTCTATTTTATGTATTAATAATTGTTAAATTCTACACTTTTTGTTGGTTACTTCTGCCTCTTCAGCTGTAAGTCATTATTATAACCTTTTCAAAATAGACATTAATGTGTCTACACATTGCCTTTTTTAGCTAATATGATTATACTTTAGGAGAAAACAATATTTATACTCATAGTTCTTGTTCATTAATTTATTTTAAATAAAGTGGAAAATTAATTTTTTTTTTTTCTCATTTACAAAGCATCTCATTTGTTTATATTGGTAAAATGTGTTTTTTTTTTTTTTTTAACTAAACTGAATAAAAATAAACACCTTCATTAAAACAAATTAACTTTTCTTTTATGAACAAAACTTTAAAAAAAATAAATATTTCATAAATTTAAATTTGTTACATTTTCAAATTGCTAATATTGCTTACATCCTTTTACTTTCAAGATGTGATTTCAATGATAGTCATTTCCACTTTGAGAGTAGAAAACTGCTTTATTTGAATGATTAAAATTTTAATAAAAGCCATCAAGAAGATGACCACTTATTTATAAAGATCACAATTAATCACTGTAAATGAATAACAAAACACAATTATCTGTCTATATCTTTGAGATGTGGTATTATGATTTCTTGCATTATTTACATTACTTGGGCTGTTATCCTCATCTACATTGTGAATATGGCAATGAAGATGAGGATAACAGAGTAATGTAAATAATGCAAGTAAAACACAATTACTTTTTTAAAAATTTGATTTTTAAAGCAGTATATGCAAATTAGTTATTTCCATTAAGCAAGAAAGCACTCAGATATAAGACACATATTGTAAGATTTAAATAACAAAACTTCATTTTAATAATGCAGTACTTGTTAATAAGCTTTAGTCTCAGGGTTCTACCTCTCCAGACTTTGTCTCTTCTTCTTTGGGAGGGATCCAGAGATATTACCTAGCACCTAAGCTTCTCAAAAAAGAAGTGCTAATGTTATTTATTCACTTCCCCATAGTGAGAAGATGTGATTTTAATATGGGGACTGCCCTCAGCCAATACAGACATTACCCAGTCCCTGCAACCATTGTCACACTAGCATCAATATTCCATTGATCTTTTAGTATAATGAGAGAAGTGCCATTGTAGGAATGGAATCTCTGGTACCACGTTTTATCCATCAATTATAAGAACAGATATCTTGCATTGATCCCAATCAAAAGGAAACGTATCAAGGGGGCTTGAACAATTTTTGTTCCTTGGCCCATGTATGTATGAAACCCCCACCCAGCCATGTCACATTCTGTATGAAGTGGATGTGCTTCTCCCACTGACTTAAAGAAGGAGAGTCAGTTTCAATTCCTGATGTCTGAGGCATCCTACAAAAAAAGTGCCAAATAAAACTGAGCAATTTTTTATTCTATTTCCGTGTACATATGTAGAGCTGAACATTAAACCAACCTTTGCTCTTCTGTAGAGGCAGAGAAATGAAATAAGACCACACTTATTTGATGTCACCATTCATTTTTTAATAGTTATACACCTACACACAACAAACTAACATATAGTTTGAATGGTTTTGAGCAGACACAAATTTTTAGCTTCAGCTAAAATAAGGAACTACTTACAAGTTCATTCTTTATAGCTAGACTAAAAAGATCTTGTCATTTCTTATGTTTGCTTTGTTGAAAATGGTTTTTCATTAAAAATGATTCAGCTATTTCAAAACATCAGCAAGATACATTCATATACTTTCAATTTTATGTGTATTTTGTGTTGCTGCTAAATAGAGTACTAGTGTAAAATTTGAACCCAAAACCAAATGATATCACATTTTTTTTTGTTTTTGTTTGATGCTTATTTTAAAATGAAGACATTTTTCCTGATGTTAAGTTTGGTATTTATCTTTTTTAATTAATACTAGTGTATTTTTTAAAAAAAGTAAAATGCCAATTAAGAAAATATAGACCAGTAGTGAATTTTATACCAATGTTAGTTTTATTTGGCAAAACTAATATAATTATAAAATGAAAGTCAATTTACTAAAGATATTTTTTTTTCTATTTAATTTCTTTTTTTTTTTTTTTTTTTTTTTAATTTCTTTTTTTTTTTTTTTTATTTTTTCTTTTTTTTTTTTTTTCAAATGGAACTTTAATAATCAATGGTTGCATTTTGAATGAAATGTTCTGGTTATATATATATATATATATATAGTGTGTGTGTGTATGTATCTGTTAATGAATTCAATATTTATCTTACTCTCATGAGTGCAATGGTGTTTTGATGAAGATAATTCCTTTGAACTTTTATGTGTGGTGGGGTGCTAAAAAGTACATTTCCCAAAATCTGACTAAAAGATCAAACATTAGAATTAGAAGATATTGAAATCACTTGTATATAACTAACAACTGATTTATTATTTGTTGAATGGTATTTTCAATATGCCAAATGTGTCTATACTTTTTTTCATATTCATATGTAATACCTTCATATCCTTCTTGCTGCAGTGGGACTTGGCTTACAGCCATATCACATTGAATCACTGGTTCCTGTATGATCACAAGTTAAGCAATGTCAAGCCTGATCAGTATCTAGATGGGTGACTGTTTGGGAATACCAGGTGCTGTAAACTTGGATGTGCAGGTGGTGTAATAGATAAAAGCTCAGAATTGGAAATTGGGGAGCAGTCCCGATTCCCATTGGGTTTGTTATATTCACTTGTGTGCAAATACCCTTGAGAAATATATGAAATCACTTCTTTTCCCTCTGCTATAGGTTAATTAGTAAGATTTGTATACTATTATCTCGTAAAAACTATAATCTAAAAATATTTTCTGGTTTGAAATAACCTGCAAAGGGTTGATACGCTGTAGAAAACAAACCTATCAAATCATATAGTAGAACTTCATATTTTAAAGCTCAAACCATTTTTCAGTAGTATGCAACAGATCAACAAGAAAATGACTTTTTGCCTTTATACTATTAGTATTAAAAAAGTATTATAATTTAATGTAGTAATTTTATAAACATAAAAATGGATACAAAGTAATAATGGTTGGTCTAACATAATTTTTTGTTTTATATGGCAGCCTATCTTTTACAGATTGTTATGTATTAGCTGAATAAAGCCCACTGTTATTTTCAAGAATTTCATAAATATAACATTTCTTGTGAAAGTATACCTTGTTCTATCTTAGAATTTCTCTCTACTCTATGCTACAGTTTTGTAATGTTATGAAAGTAGATAATAAAAAGATGCATTAGGCTGTCTGTGGCTAAATACAAGTAGCAAGTATATTTCAAAATTTGGGTTTTGCAACTTATTGATTTTCCGCCCTAACAGACTCCTCATTAAATCTGTGTAGTAAGGTCATTTGTAATGGTTGTTAGCATTTTTTGAAAATGCAGAAATACTGATATTGGTCTTATATTTAGATGTATTTTGAAGAAATATTTAAAAGCTTTTATAAAAAGAAAAAAACTCTGTATACTAAATTTATATTTATGAATCCTGTTTGCAATTAACTCAAACATTACTAAACAGGTCTGAGTTGGGGAAGATAATGAAAAAAAATAGCCAGAGTTATTAGGATCAGAAAAGGCAACTTATTTCTTCAAGGTTAACAATACAAGAGGCCTTTGAGTCTGTTTTTTAAAATTTTTACTATGTTGTTGCTATAGAACTCTGTAAATAGGTGTATGTGTTTGTATGATATGCAAGAAAATTCTGAAAAGTTGTGAGGCCAACCAAGAAGGACTCCCCCCACCACCACCAAAAAAAAATTTCAGTCATTTGGTTTGAATTTTGTGAAATGGTTCAGGCCAAGAAATTTTCAGCATCCATCATCTAACAAGCTCAATTGTACTTCCTTAAAATGTTGATTGATTCAAATCATAAAGCTATGCCAGCTGATTGACAGTTTTATAATTTACTGGATATCACCTTTTTCTGTCTCTCTAATTTCATTTATGCAGTCTGCAATCTTCTTTCCTCAGCATGAATCGTCTTACCTTTGCAAGTGATTCTGCATGGCTTGCTACTGCTGCTGCATCAGCAACAACAACGACAAAATGTACAAATCACTAACATTTAATGCATCTGAATTACATAAATGCAGACAAGAAAAATCAATGGTTAAAAGCTAGCAGCATCAAGACATGCAGCCTGACTCGGGTTTGTATTGCACCCAGTCCTGTAAGTTCTGCTGTACTCAGCCCCCACCACATTCCATAATGACATTGCAGTCTTTTATTTAAAGAAGGGATCACTTTCCCAGACACTTTCAGCTTTTTCATTGATCTTCTTTGATTAAGTAAGGAATTAGTAACCGTGTGAAAATTAATTTCTCTTGCGTATCATTAATTTTTATCTTGGATTATAACAGAGCCAAATCGAGCTTATCAATTGATGCCTATTCTAAAATGCGGTGGAATTTAAATCGGTGTTCTGCTGTAGATAATGCTTTACCAAATATGGCTGTTTTTCTTTTCTCTTCCCCCCCCCCTTTTCATTGAATTGAAATTTAGATGTAAAGTCAAGTTTTGAAATAATGAGACTAAAGCTGGGCACATTAGTGCAAAACAACTTCTGGAGATTTTAAATCTCCAGAAATGTTAGTTTTATTGGAGGAAAGATTAGTGTACATGCAAAAGGAGAAAAAGAATAAAAAACATATTGTGAAAAATTCTAAAACTATTTAAATGCGTCAAGTGCTTATCCTGAAACTTAATCTGTTAGGATTATAGTCATTCTATGCTTCAACTAAAGAGTTGCAGTCAGGATAAGAGGATCTCAGTCTAGATTTTATCTTTTTAACAGGACTTTTCTTTCCATATTTAATGCAAATAAACAGATATTAAAGTCTTTAAACAGTCAGCTAGTATTTTTCTCCTTTTCTCCTTCTATTCGAATAACAACAAAAAAATAAATTAAATTTTATAAATATTTCCAGAAATCAAATATTAATAACCTGCATCTTGGTTTTTGATTTATTATTATTATTATTAACAATGTTTAAAGTTCTTTTATTTAAATATATTGGCATTTAAGTTAAAGTTATGTTTTCTTTGTATGAGCAATTGGATACTATCTCCTGCAAAAATTGGAATCAATTCTGAGAAAAAATGAAATTCAACCAATTGATTTTAAATTTTATTGCAACTGAATTTGTAAATGATTAAATGTCAAGAAGCAAATACTCAGCAAATAGTTTAAAATAAGCTTTCATAATTTTTTTTTTCTTTTCCATATCAATAAAATTGTTTCTAATCTAAATATTATTTCAAATATTACTGAAAAAAATGTAAAGAATGTAACATTAACTTAAACTTTATTATTCATCTTTTAGTTATTTGAATTTTAGTTTAAATTTATGAAATATTGCTGGTGAACTAAAGCTTCTATTTTAATTTCTTTAACAGAAAATAACTTTTTGTAAATGATGATTCACTAAACTGAGAAATTTGATGTTTGTTGCAAATCTTTATTAAAAATCTCACATTCTGCTTTCCACTTGATGGCAACAGTATTTTCAAATTTCTCTATAAAGAGTTTAATTTTTAACTTCTGTTTTTTTCCCACAATATTTACTACTGCAAACAAAGATCTAAACATGAATCTTAAATTTGTGCCTTGTTCAACATTGTAAGGAAAAAAAAAAAAAAATTAATGATCTATTGAAAAAAATTTAAATTGGATACCTCACTTTGAGGAAACTGAAACTTTGTTTGGAAAACTCTGTAAGGCGAATTCTTTCATAAGAATTTGTCATAACGTTTCTTTATTTTATTATTGATAAGATTTCAAAGGATTTATTTATCTATTGATATAAGTGTAAGGGATTTTTCTTTTATTTGCTTCGGTTTGCTTTCTTCAAATCTTTTCTGTTGTCAAATTAGTCATAATAAATGAGTAAAGATCTCCCAAAGATAATTTATGAACATGTGTTTTTGGTTCACTTCAAAGAATCAAATAATATTTATATCTCTAATCTATCCCGTTCCCCCAAAAGTATCCTTTAAAAAAAATAGGTGGATAATTTCTTTCAAATTTATGGTTTTGATTTGAGATTTTGTATATAAAAAGAAATTTCACATAGTTAAATTTACTGCTTAGCTTGAATCTATTAGGCCAAAGTTGATGGGAAGAAGGGATTTAGTCTTGTCAAATAATTAGTCAAATTTATAGACTAGTTTTGGTAGATATTCTCATCTTTTTAAAAGATTATTTGCATATTTCATGGTTGGCCAAGGAGGAGTTTGAAATACTAAACGCATGATGGAAACTTTAATTTCCTCATACCCCTCCCCCAATTTCTCCTTTCCTTCTGTCTGCACTCTCTGCTAGTCGAGTGAGTTTGATCCTCACTGGAGGTAACCTCATGTCAAACTAAGCTTGGCTTATATTAAAAGAACCTTTTGTTGGATACTAATGCTGGGTCACTTAGGACAGCATGAAAAAATTATATTGAACATTTGAGATAGAAATTCAGAAAAGAAAGAATAGCCAATTTAAGCATTTCAAATATAAAAAAAAGGTTGTTTCTCATATTTCACTTTTTTATTAAAGTAGAAGTAAAAAAAAAATTTAAGTTTGTTATATGGTACCATATTTGACAGCATACTTTCTGCTACTCCTCAAATATTTGCCAGGTCTTATATGTGAAGTTTTGATATTTGGTAGGCTAATGTTTACTCAGATGCTGTAAACTACCAACATTAGTACCTAGCATAACTCTATAGAAATTGACTATTAAATGTAAATTGAAGGAAGGGTTTGATTCTATTAAAAACAAAAACAATGTATGAACATTATGACTAGGTTTTAGATAATAACCTCTATAACTTCTTTCAAAACCAGAAGAGTTTGTTTCTAATGTGTCTGCTGAATTTTCTTTTATTTCCTCTCAAATGTTGCTGTTGATTAAAACTCAAAGGGAATATCAAATGGATAAATGAACCAACTGCTTTTGGTGTTTCTAATAAACTTTCATCTTATTATCCAAAATGCATTGGAAATTTCTCAACACACTCACAAAAACTTTATATTTATAAGATTGCAATCCATTAGGCAGCCTATAGTTTCTTTGTTTGCTGCAACTCTTGGTGGCATTAGGAGTTGTTTTTTTTTTCTTCTCAATTGCTAGCAAAAAATAGAAGCTGGTCAAAGGTAAAAAAAAATTATCTGATTTCTTTTTGTGTAAACTTATTCTTTTTCAGCCTTATATTCTCGGAATGTGTCTGTAAGTTTAAAACCTGCAAACATTCAGAATTTGGAGTGTTTATTTTTATGAAAGAAAAACTGAGGATATTTCTTTTTCATTTTCTTGAAGGCATCCCTTTAATCAAGAAAACCATAAAACTTGAATTTCTTGAACTTTAGCTGTTGTCAGAATAAACCCAGTGTTTCACATCTATATCTTAATTCAATATATAGAGAACACACCTTGAAGATTTTAAATTCTTTTTCTTTATTAAACAAATAGTTATGATTGTCTTGACTGGAAATATTCCAAAGCTTCTTCAAATTTCTTGCAACAATGATTATTTTAGGTTATTTTTGTTTTATTCTTCATTTCCTTAGAATCTCCAACTATAAAACTTGAAGTTTTGTTGGAACTAACTATTACC